CAATGATTATTGTTAGGGCCACTACTTTGTCTTTCCTTTCAATTTCCGTAATTTTACATAAAGAGCAAATAAATTGTATGTCATATTCCATAGTCTGACATTCCTGTTTATTTTGAATAATATTGATATTCTCTACTAGATTATCAACACCACGAATGAGTATTATCTGTTTCATTGCAGGTGAATGACTGTTTTCATATGTCAGAAGAGAAAATAATTGCTTTACTTTTGTATTTTGTTGATAAACACAAACTATACAGCAACTTGAAATCCACATTAAAAATCCTGTGGGGCTTCTTAAAATCAAGGTCTCTAAAGATATTCTGCTTTCAGTTAAGTTATTTAATTCTCCGTGACTTACTTCATTAATTTCCGTTAGATCATTGACATCATTGAAGAAAACATTGTCGTGACAGCCCTTGCCAAACTAGTTCTGATTTTTTTCAAATGTTCCTACGCTTTTTTTTCTTGCGCGCTCTTTAATTGACAGGTGTCAGATTGTGACAGATACTTGTAAAAATAATGTTTCAAAGTTTGTTTCGAAGCCTTTTAAATCACCTTTATCGTTACGGAAATGAAAATGTTTCGCTGAGGCATCTCTCTTTAATTTGCATCACCTCTATTTTAACTACCATTAACTCACTCAAAAATTGTTCAGTTTATGGAAGATCTTGCCGTATTTACAGCCCTAAATCATTCGGGTTCTTTCGGAAAGAATTTCGTCAAGTTTAAAAACAATAAATATGTTATTTGCCGGCTAAGGGTCGGTCCATATGGTGAAAAACTGTGACCTCGGTCTCCCTAGACAAATATTCTTCATTCATTAAAAAAGGAAGTTTTCCCTATAGTTCCAAACAGCAAGAAGTACCAGTATCATTCATGCAATTGTCACTAAAAACAATACATTAGAATTTCAATTCTGATTGTTTTTTTTTATTGACCATCATATTGAAAGTGTTCATCTCTAAAGAGATAAATGTAACTCCATACTTCCCCTTTGAGCGATATCCGGACGGTTACTTCATCCAATGTCCAGAATTAAGTTTTCAATGTAGGTTACGGTAATTTTAATCTAAATAGAATTATTATCGCTCATATTTTTCCCTTCAGTTTAACTTCCATTACATGTCATAAGCGCGACACGTGTACGCATTGCGGACCTATTTTTTTTATGAGACGGCAAAAGATTGCTATGATTGCACCGATAACTAATCCAGAAATTTCCAATCCAGTGAAAGTTGAACCCCCTGAGAAAAACAGAACAAAAAACAAATAAATACATAATTGCAAAATATGAAACCTTTGGTATGGAAAATTGAAATTTTCATTGAAAGCATAGATTGAGGTTAAATTAATTGGAGCTAAGTTAATAACTTAAGACGGATTAAAGTCGTAGCATTCATAATCACTTTCAATGTTGTATTTCTTCGTTTCTTCATTTATTTACCTTCAAAAATTTTTTCAGGCCCAGCCTCTCTTTTACAATAGGCTTCACTCTCTTGATCAGGACTTAAAGTACATGCTGATTCTCTTCCTGCCGCCAGGTTATATTATATATGGCAAAAGAAAGCCATATTTTTAAATTTGTCGAAGGGTTAGTATTAATTCCTGCCAACGACCGAGCTTACAGTCGAACTTGTTATAAGCGGTCACCCTGTATTGAGCGATTAGTTGTCAAAGTAACGAAACTCTTACTCCTTCATTACTGTAATTCTCATCTTTATAAAGCGTTCACTTCTATCAAGCGGTCGTGTTCACTCTTTACTGAGTCCCTACGGCCTTTTTTTTTATTGTATTCCACCTGTATTAAAAGGTCTCTTAAAGTGGAACCGCCCAAATAGACTCAATTGTATTTGTGAGGTAGTTTCGGTACATAAAATGGCCAATTGTGGCATGAAATGACATTCTATTTATTGTTTTTCATAACACCCGTATTCTGTGGAACCGGCATAGCGGTCAACCTGTATGAAGCTGTCACGCTGTCATTCCCCGTTGGTGAATGCTTAACCCAGGTTCCACTGTAATTCGTTTTTCTATTAAATATAGGTGGGAGTAAGGATGAGGAAGTGTATTGAAATGGAGGAAACGAGGAGAGAATTGGAGTGAATGAGGGTGTGAAAGGAAAGAAGACCTTAAACTAGGCAGGTTACAGATCACTTCGATCAGTGCAAATTTGATTCCACTGGTGCAGCTTTAAGGCATATTAGAGCTGAGTTCGGTGATAAAAAAAATACCAGTAATAAAGATTTTGCTTGCGAAAAAAAAGACTAATAAAAGTCAATGCAACCCTATATAAGTTTGGACAAACTCATTTGAAATTTGCTCCAAAACTGACATTGAGAAAATTGAAAAAGAACAAATCGTACTCACCTGACGTTGGTGAAGATGATGGAGTTCGGATACCTAGGGGTAAAAACAGAGCGGCAAAGTAAACAACTTCTATACTTTGCCTAAATGTTAATATGTTACAGAGCCCTAAAAATTGTATTATACGGCAAGGTAGTCTCTAAGTAAATCTGAGCGTTCTTATTATTTCGTATTCGTATTTCGTGCCCCTATAAAGTTCTTCCGGCCTTAACGAATAAACATTTTCCCAGCATTATCCACAGGGAGCACTTTCTTGATAACTAAGGTTCCGTTGATGTAAACGTCAAAGTTTGGGTTATCAGCGATAGTCACTCTCTCATATTTTGAACGTGCGCTATCAGGAACTTGTCTCATTCGTGATGTTTAACTGTAACCCCAACACCAAATAAAGGGTACTATAATTTTTTCACTTGATATTTCAATATCAGAACTGTTAATATCATTCTTACCATCATCATCAGTACCTCCATTTTCATCCGATTTTTTTATCAGGAGTGTTCAGTGAGCTTCTTTTAAAAGCTTACATATAAGTTACGCGCTGACTAATTTTAAGCATAAGATTTTAATATGGAATAAATTTTAGCTTGTCATTAGTTTATCATTGTCATTGTCATTATCAGTATTATTATTGCAACCGGTATCATTATTACCAATTTTATTTTTACTACTATCATTATTTTTATCATCATGTTCATCATTACAATTTAAACGATTGGTTCTCATCAGACATTTTACCAATAGTTGGAACAGGACCTTGGAGAGTACGCGTCATAAGCATGTGCTGTTGTCGTACATTTCGAAGTAAACTGTTGTTTTTATTGAAGACGTAGAACCAACTTGAAATCGATTCACTGGAATGGGACCTCGCATCCTGGTGTTTTGTTGCTGGAGCTCCTGTCCAATGAGCTGGCATATATATTCAAAGGTATTGCGAGAAACTTTCAAGTTCTACTTCCACCAGTGATCCAGTGCATCGTTATTTAGAAGTTGCTGAAGCCAATTGTGTGGTCTTGGAAATACCCAAGTTCTTCTTTGCCGGCAAGCAAGTTCGCTTTTGGCTCGTAAATGTAAATAAAATGTCGAAAAATCTTGAAGGTAGCGTAGTTGAAAGTGTCTTCTTCGGTGTCTTCTCACCAAAAACTGCTGGACTGCTATATTTATAGAGGACATTCCTAATATATAGATTTAGCCAAGCCTAAAAGCGGAGCTCTTCTTAGTTTATTTTCTAGCCCTTCGTTATACTGGATAAAAACTGTAATAAAAGTCTTCAGCACCCGCTGTAGAAGCGTTTCTTCAATGGATTGAAAGACAAGTTCGGGGGATGGGGGGGTGGGGGGGGTGGGGAATAATTGACGAAGTCTGGACCTGGGGACGATGTTCTCACAACTATACACAGTCAGCGGTATCTTCAGACAGCTTACGACTTTAGTCGTTGTTCTTGATGTTGTGACCAGATTTTCGAAGATAGGGAGTGTTTTCTTCTTCAGATGAAGTGCATGCTATCAGCATCAGTTGAAATTATATCCTATAGCGCGTGACTTATAATTTCGGTTTGGGAAAATGAGCCAAAATTGAAAGAGACCACAGTAAACCACTTTGCGTTAAGACAATTCTGGTGGATCGAGGTGTATACGTGCAGTAAGCACAAGTCAGTAAAACAGTACGCCAAAATCGTATGGGCTTCTCTTATATCTTCTCTTGAAGTCGCCAGGTATGACTGCTTACCCTACCGTTTTTCCCCAACGTTTCAACCCCCTCTGTTTAGCGTAGAAAATTAAAAAAAAAAGTAATTTTCAACTCGTGTGTAATTTTTGAAAACTTTTTCGCTTTTGGCTCCTCTTGTTTCATGTTTCATGATTGTCCTCTGGCTGGAAATAAATGACGTCTTTTTGAGATTTTTTTCTGTTATTTAATTCGATAACCTCTGCTGTAACTGCATATAATGTAGGTGTCTTTTAGAAAACTTGAGCTGATACCTGGATTTCATTTTTACATCACAGAAATCAATTTAAAACATCAATCAAGTTTTCTCTTAAGTTTAAAAGTTGAGTTGATGTTGTTATTGGCTATATTAAATAGGTTGAAAGTTTTAGATGGTACTTTCTTATATTTGCAGATAATTGAATTTACTGGGAGGTGAAGTTGTTGCAACATGTTAACATGAAACGCAACAATACATTATATTGATATGTCAAAAGTTTTTATCTGACTATCTACTAGCAAGTCTTTGTATAATATTTCAACCCAACCATTTTCCTCAACATATAAACACTATTACAAAATAATTAGTCACAACTTCAACCATGGCATTTCAACCATGTTTGAAATGCCATGTCCATAATAAGCTAACAGGATAGAGGAGTATGTATGTAGGGATAGGCCCTCTTGTCTGTATCAATAATTTGCTAATCACTCCTGTTGGCAATGTTTGGATGAGGTTGAGCTGTCAGGGCAAAGGAACTGAGGATTTTAATAGGCAGTGACTTTTTTTCAAACCTGGAAACTATCTGATCTTGAAAGCCATACTTGTGCCCAGTAACTCATTCTTATTCTGATAAACTAGTTTTAAGAAGGATGCAATACTTTATAAAAAAAAACTTGATGCATAGGTTTTGCAAAAAACTTTAATTTGACTATACTTGTGAAGCCGATACCAGTACCTTCACATGCTAAAAAGGTTGGGAGGATCAGAGAAAAAATAATGTGCCATACATCTACAAGATTCGATGTAATTGTTTTAATTACAAGAACATTAAATGATACTTGGAGATCTAAAACTATTAAAAAAATAATAAAATTTGGTTGAAAAATTAGAATTCAGCACAGGCTGGATGAACAGAATTCTTAGAAAAATATATGTGTACTAATGAAAAAGCTCAGCAAACTTTTTTTACAACACCTGCCTGTACCTATATGGCATGTAGTAAAGTCTCTTGAAGTAGTCATAGTCCCAGTTTCATATGTTGAAAACACATGCACACGAAGATTTTCTGTGAACCTAAAGTTTAAGCCTGTGATGACTTTGAAATTTTGACGCCCCCCTCAAAAGGAGAACAAATAAATTTCATGTTTCTATATATTCAGTTTAGGTTGGTCAGGTAAAATTGAGCGAAACATTCAAGACGTAAAACGACTGGTTAAGAAATTTTTTAAACTAATTTTTAAGGTTAGCCTACCTTCATGTAAAAATTAGACCACTTTTGTACTGATGATGCCCAACAGAACTATCCGTAGTAAGAGGACAGGCTTCATTTAAAGAAATAATGATGTTATCATCTTTCCACAAGCTCAGTGGAAAGTGAGAGTGAACGAGACTGATAGTGACTACGTTATTTGAATAAATATCCAGAGCCAGGATAAAAAGTCAGACATGGTCTGCAAAACTATTTCCAGGTTCAATTAGAAAGGGGCATTTGTTGCTGTCATCTTTGGGCCGGAGGGTGTTGTCACTGTTGAGTTTCCAAAGCTGGTTATGGTTGTTGATACATGCACAGGGATATGGGTTGGTTTCTGATCCTAAGTTGGTCAAACACCTGCATTGCAATATATATTGAAAGTTTAAGTCCTTTTTTTTCTTAATCAGTGTTAAAGGAAAAATTGTTGTAAACAGAGCAAAATATTTACTATGAAGCCTACATCAAGATTCCTTTATAATCTCTATGTATAATCATAGAGATGTTACGTCGAGCTAATATGATTGTGGTTTTCTGGAATGTGTTTGGAAAAGAGGCAATCGTGAATGAAATAATGGATTTCATCAGCCATCAGCAAACTTCAGTCAATTCAATTAAACACGGATCTTTGAAAAGACCAACTAACTGAACGTGATATCCTGACACACACTCAATTATTCGTAAAAGTAAAGGCTTGCTTCTTCGTTTACTTTTGTTGTTGTTGTTTTTCACCCTCTTTGGCGGAGATAACAATGCTTACTCTACTTACAATTACTTGCACTACTAACAATTACATACAGTAGTGACATTACTTACAGCGAGAAAATAATTTGTTGGTAACCCTCTGTGCAAAAGTTGGAACTGAAATTCTCTAAGTTTGGTGATTTTTGTACAATTATAGGCTAACATATAGGCCGTACTCCAGATTATGTCGTTTTGTCCTGCACAACAATCGGCTGTCCCTCCCTGCTGACTTTTGTTCGGGGCACGGTACTTCGCTACATAATTTTTTTTACGAACGAGTCGGCAAGGTTTTTGAGACCTTTTTAACGTTTCGAAAAGTTTTGATGTTTGTTGCAGATGTTTCTATTGAGATTCTTTCTGCATGCATTCCGCAGAGATTTTATCGTGGAAATTATTCCAATGTGCACATAAGGCTATATTGCGATTTAAATTTACTTTTGAAGCCTTGTAGAGTAAGAAATTTGTTCTCGTCATCTTTGAAATGTTTTACTGTGTCAATGCCATGGTCGTGCTATACTTTTAGAAGGAAGGGCACTTCATCAATAAGCGAGTTGTGTCAAATAATTTGTTCTAGAAATTGACTTTCGGAGGTTATGCATCCCTCAAAATTGTTTTCTGACTATAATAGTAGAATTTCTTTCATGAATTTTCCCGAGTTCTCAAAGATTTTTTCTTATCTTTTGTGTTAAGATTCCCGGTAACAGGCAAGCTGTTACCAAATCTCTCTCATTCTAGATCAAAAAAAAGTTTCCACTTGCCTTGGTTGGCTGTATTTAGGTATTTTGTGATCCACGTGGCTTTTAAAGTCATACTAAAAGACTGAAATTAATAATTTTTAGACCACCTCAGTTCCGCATAGTCATTGCTCGTTCCACTTCCTTTAGTTTTGTCACCTTTCCATTCCAAACAAATGAATTAAAGAGTGTGTTTATTTCATAGGTGATTTTGATTAGAGCACAGGGGTGTCATAATGTAAACGAGTTGTGAAGCAACAAGACCTTTTAAAATCGTGATTTTTCCCAAGAGAGTAAGTCTGCGATATTTCCAGTAACTTAGGATATTTCAGACTTTTTTCTAGTTTTTCAGTGAAGTTTAGAACTTATGAAAAGTTTTGACTCGAAAGATTGCCATGCCCTCTTTTTGTTAAAGATACCAAGGAATAATAAACATTTACATTTCCTGCATATGAAGCTTTTATGCCCACTGATTTTAGAGCGTAGATAAATCTCATGGGATACCACAACGACACTTATAATTTCAACCATCGCACTTGGCAACATGGAAATCACAATGGGTAAATCGTAACGAAAAGAAAAAGTTGAAAATCTTAACTAGTACTCACATAGTACTAGTCTTAACTATTACTCACTATTCACTCCAGTTTTCCTTCAGAGCTTGGAACTCACAGCCTAAAGAAATGTGGAATAGCAAGGACTGACAGGTAAGATAAGTATTCAACCCCTATTTCCCATTTTGACTTCGCGGAGCCAGCTCTCCCTATAGAAAAAATAAGAAAAAACAGATACATACAACGAGAAACGAAATTGAACGTATAATCAAAATTTTTCAATAAACTGCGCCATAAATGCACACAATTTCTTTAAATTTCTGTTGTGAAGGAAGAGAGAACTGGGGCTTCGTTCCAACATCGAGTTACTCTAAATAGGATAAAATTCCCAAAAATTAATGTAAGGTCAGTGTTTGCACAGTGAACACGTTTGTGCGAAAAGCGTCACGCGAGAGAAAACGGATTACCTGTTTTTGAGAACGGAAAATTGGCCAATCAGATCGTGATTAATGCCAATTCTGTAATGAAATGAAATTGTCTGAATTTCCGCGCTTAGTGGACGTTTCAGAAATGTGGCAATGGGTGTTTATAATGTATTTTTATTTCTTCATATTGAAATGGTTTACCAAGCGTAATTTTTTGGAAATTAATACGATTGGGTATTTGCATTAAGCTTTCGGTAGATACATCTTTGACGCTAAAAATATCATGCATACTAACAGATGATACAAGAAAGCATACCATGTAATACCAAGATGTTTGAATTCGAAGTTGGTACACTTCCCGCTGTTACATTTTCTAGGACACCTGCATGGCAAACAATTAGCGCAATATAGTTTAATTTCATGCTAATAATATTTGCTATAGATATAAATATAAATTGGCCACCGCAAAGAGTTTCTAAAGTTAACCTACGATTTTTCCGTGAGACCGTGGATATTTAGAATGCCGATTTGAAAGATAATTTTTGTTCTTTAGTTTAACGGTTAAGGTTTGATCGGTATTATTTTGAATGACATCATTATTTGAATGCCTGGAAAGCAGATGTAATCGAATTCACGCTTCTGAAGAAAAGAAACAAGACAGGAAACATTAGCTACCCCTTCCCGGGAGAAAACCATATCCAAATTAGCCTCGGAGGGAAACTATATATCTTTCCCTCTATAGAAAATCGTTCAGTACATAAAGGACTGATTACAAAGTCACTAGTCTAATTTTCCCAACATCATGCAAAGTTATAACTAAGATAAAAAATCGGTAAATAATGAAACAAAACATGAACAAGAGCCAAAACGATAACAATTTATAGTATCATTTGGTTTATCAGCTGAGTTAATAATGTAAATTGGCTACCATAAAGCGGTTTCTCTGCCCTAAAACTCTTTACGGTGGCCAAGTTAATTTCCAACTTAATTGATAAACCAAATCATACCCAAGAACGAAGAAGCACACAGTTAATAAAGAAACTTACCCGCTTTTAATGATGGAACAAATTTGCTCGATGTAGCATTGGAAGCATGGATCCATATGGAAGAAACACTCATTTCGGGTGTTTTTGATGCATTTATCGCCTGGGAAAGAAAAAAAAAGAAAATTTAAATCAATCTGGTGACATGTGAGTATTTGTTGAGCTTATTTACTAGGTCCAGTATTTTAGTTGCGTTGTATTCGTTTCATTCCTTTATCGCAAACTTCGACCAGTTTGGTTGCCACAAGTTTAATATCAACACTTCAGTAGTGCTGTTACCTCTCGTGGATAATCAAGTATCCAAAAGTGTATCAAGAAGACATGCAATAAACAGAAACGGAGCATCCTTTTGTTACTTAATATAATGGGCTAATATACTAAAACCTATCATTATAACGGAAGAAGATGAAAAAGATGGAAAAACGAAAGACAATTAAAAGACACATGAGAAATTCTGATAAGGCCCTCTGCAGAAGAAAAAAACAGGCAAAAGACAAACGAACAAAAGCAAAAATTTTAAAGCTCATTAACTGATGATGTGCGGATCCAAGGTAAGTTCCGAGAAATTCGGCTCGGGAAAGCAACGACGAGACGACATGAATCACCGACCGACGGACTCTTTTTGTTCCCATTTTCGTGCTCTTCGAACGTGATATGTATGATAGCTCTCTCCTTCTTTGATTGAGCTATTATTAGCCTAGCAGCACCCAAACATCGAAATTTTTATTAAAAGTGAGCTGAGTGGAAAAGCTCATTTTACAACCCGAACGTCTTTGAGTGGATAAAATCTTTTGCTAATGGAATGAGCTGTTAGATATGATAATAGTAGTAACGCTGAGTAACATAACCAATAATGTACATAAATCAGTATTAACTTCTCGAGTACTATGTTGAGCATCAATGTAAGCTTCCAGAACAAGTTTCAAAGCAAGCGGAAAAGGATGCTTAGGGGATGATACTTTTTATATGCTTTTCAGATGCTTTCCATGGGAACTTTAACGGACATTTTTCTAAAACATATGAACCTTCTGATGACGTTAAAACCGTGCGGAGACTCCGCCTACATTTTGAGTGCACTTTCCAAAACCTCCCTATCAGAAAAAATTCGCGCTGCAATTTTTAAATCGCCACTAAAAACACGAACATGAAAAGTCAAAGGAAAAAAAAATGTAAATTTGACCTTGAATTGCAAAAGAATTGCCCTGAATACCGCTGCCACAAGCAAGGTATCCCAAAATAATTTTGCCACTTGATCTCAGCTTTCCACATAAAAATGAGGCGTCATTCCTTGGGGCAAGTGAGAGGTCGTGTATATATGATTGCGCCTTAAAGGCTTAACCAGGCAAGGTCCAATCGTACATAGACGCAGATACGCGTCAAGTTTGCCATCAGAATCTTACCTGGACATGTACGGTGATCTTAGAATGAATTGTTCGTCGGAAACCTCCCACGTCAATTTGACATCCGTATGTGTTGCTATCGAAGAAAGTCAGGTTCACCAATTTATAGGCCAAATACGACTTCGATATGTTTCCTACCCAAGTCACTCGCCCAACGTAAGTAGGATGTGTCTTGCTCAACTGAGGATTAGAAATCACTCTTCCCTGCTTGGTTACCGTCATAAGATAAAACGTGGTATAACCATTCTCCCAAAGGCCAAAAATGAACCCTGTTAATTCTATTTTGTCCTCATCTTGAAGATGAAAGTCCCATTCGAAGAGAAAACTTGACCCCTCTGTCCTTGTAGCACTGGACTGTCTCGGTTGGATGGTGCTGGCAACTTGTCAGAATTAAAAAAAGAATATTCAAGGTTGTTCCTGTATACTTTACTTTTCTCCTCTAACTATTAAGTTTCCCTGGGTCATTTCCTCTTTACCAAAGACATTTCTTAGAGTTTGAGTAAACAGACTATTTTTGGGGAAGGCATAGTTTAGTTATAGGCTATTAGAGGGTAACTATTTGGGTCGATGATTTTCCTTATTATTTTTTTCTGAGAAGATCCATGTTTTCCTGGAATCATCTCGCCACAGAGCTTCATCAACCATGAACGAAAGTAGACATTCATTCAAATACAAATATTATTCATTGATGGAAGTCAAGGTCATATTTTAGAGGTACGAGCGTCATCAAATAAATCGAAGTATCTGAACCGTGAACTGTGCTTTAATTTATAACTTCAGAGTATCAGTTAGTGAATATGTTTCAAAAGTTGAACCAACTCTCTCATGGCGCAGAATGGCCGGACATGTTCAGTATTTATACCTCATTAGCATTGCATTAGTATAACAGCAACATAACAACTGATATGCTAATATTAATGCTATTATGGAAGAAATTTGAAAGCCGGCAATCAACATTTGAAAGGAAATGGCGCCAGAAAAGGACGAACACCTAACTTTACTTTTAAATGGGTCTCAGTCGGAAAAGTCAACACTTGCAGGCTGCAAAATAAATATGATAGTACACTTATTTAATGGACGTTTAGTCAAACACTTTTCATCTACAGCGACATCCTCACCAAACCCCAACACGCGGTTATGCCATTAATTATTTAGAGATTGTCTGTGTCGTTTATCATGTAAACTACTATGCTATGCAAGGCTTTCCGGCCCTGAGAAAAGCCGTAACAACGTTAACACACGTGAGAAAATACGACATTTTTTCAGGTGTGTTGGATATCGCCAATCAGCTGCTGACACGTCAATCGCCTTTTGCGCCACTCAGTCAGGTTGATGAATGAACGGCAATTCTCGATCCGAGTTAGTTTGTCGGAACTTCATCGGATTATGGCGGCTAGAACATTAAAAACCGACAGGCAGAGACGTTTAAACTCTCTAGAAGGGGAAGAAAACCAACAAACAAAAAGAAAAACCCGACGAACGTTATGTATTCAGTGGCTTTGTCATGGCGTTTCTCGCGGCTGGGAACGAAACTCGACAACTGGAAGATTTGGCCACGTGTTATTTTCTATTTATATTCATAGTCGAACATGAAGTTTATAGGAAATACTGCTTCCAAAATTCACGTCTCACCGAAGCTAAATCTAAATTATAAGTGTTGCCGTCGCTTCAGCCTTTTGCTAAACCACATGTTCACTGAAAATTTACACGACGTGGCTCCTTATAATTCCCCTTATATGGGTTCGAAGCTTCCTCTTCGATTGAGGCTTTTTAAATGACTGAACTAACCTGTTATGAGAACTGGCACGACAGATATAAAGAACGGGATGTAAAACCTGATAAGCCTCATTCTTGATGCTTCTTGGCTTCGTGAAATGACGAACTTCATTAAAATCATGACATTGATTCGTATCAGTTTTAATGGATTCGCAGTTCCAGTCTTTTCCGAGAAATGACTAATGAATACCAACAGAGCACGCATCGTCTAGTTATTGGAATCTCCGCTTACTTGACAACAGCAAAGCGATCCATGTGCCGATAAAAGCCTAGGAAAAAAGTAACCATATAGAAATTTAGAGCAATCTTGTAAAACAGGTCATAGAAATGAACTTATAAGGACTGACGTCATTCACGTGGTGGCAGCTCTACTTGTTCGACAATTATCACACAAAACTAACTCACCAGAGTGTCAAGTCATCCAAGTGACTCTATGCTAATGTGGCTCTGTTCAGTGTGGGTCTGTTTAGCAACAGATTACAGGAGTCGTCAAATATGGCAAGAACATTATTGACTCACTCGACAGCCACTTTTTTGTTCTTACCTCATTTTCACGTCATATATGGTCTTGTATTGAATAGAAGCAAGGCAACATGGAATCTATTGATGAATTTTATTCTTATGTACATCTCATGGGCATAAGTTTCATATTTATGTTTGGATGTATATGTAAGGGGCATTGGAACATATTCACACGCACCATGCAAGTAACGCATTATTACTATTATTATTATTGCGTGAATATGAAAGAGTCTTCGCAGTAAAGAACGCTACTTGAGCAGTAGTGAAAATAAGGCCTGAAAAAATTTCAGGCCTGTACGGGATTTGAACCCATGACCTCTGCGATACCGGTGCAGTGCCCACTTCATGGGTTTATTTAGAACCAACATGATGACCAGCACCCAGTTGGCTTGTTAGCTCAGTTGGTAGAGTACTGCACCGGTAGGTCATGGGTTTAAATCCCGTACAAGCCTGAATTTCTTTCAGGCCTTATTTTCACTACTGCTCAAGTAGTGTTCATTACTGCAAAGATCTCTTTGATATTCACGCCTTTATCCGAAGTTCAAATATATGACTTTCATATATTCACAGTCGATTATTATTATTATTATTATTAGTATTGTTATTATCACAATCATCATCATCATTATCAATATCATCATTTTCATTACTGTTATCATTAATATCATCATCATCCGTGGAGCTTTAATTTGAAAAGGAGTTTCGAACTGGCTAGTCCTCCTGGTCTCTAACAAAAATATTGTTAACGTGAAACTCGAGATTCGAATTCCCATCACCATCACTGATGCAGCAATGTGCATAAAATGTACAATATTCTCTGGTATTCACGCGGATTTGCCCATCTAGCTTAGTCACATAGTACCAATAAAACCTCAACTCAAAGTTGAGGCTAGTTAGGCAAATTTACATGAGTACAATAGAATACCGATCAGGCCTGCCACATAGGCCTATTGTCTATAAGCACTCCAGGGTTAGACACATTAACCTGCGCAATCAGGGGGCTGTCTAGTTCTCAAGTTCTGTAATTGAAATGACAGAGACTGTCCTCCTCCATCTGCACATCCGTCCACATGCGTTCCGGAATTTCCGTCTAATTTTGGCATCCTTACATTTACGCTTTAACAGCATAAATGCAAGAATAACGCAACTCATAGACAGAGCAATTATCAACGAGAGTATTATGGGGTTCTTTATCGCTGTGCTAAAACCCACTTCTTTGCTGCATCCACCTATGAATAAATATTTCATCATTCGCTGTCAGTTTATTATTTTCACTAACCGTGATAACCAGGCTCAAGCAAAATGCGTGAAGCATAAAACTCATTTTCTACGACCTCTTATCTTCAATCAAGAAAGGTGTTTTCAATTTAAACATCTAATGCGTTACGAAGTCCTCACCGCATGCATAGCATACTCAGATTTACTGAACTCTGAAAACAAGCTTAATTCAAAATTCGGCAAAAGAGAGCAAGGGGAACGCTGTCATACTACTTCAAACCGTTTATGTATAATTGAGAAGCCTTCGTTTTTGTTGCCCTCTTAGTTTTGTTTTCCCCAAGGAAAAAAGGCAAAGAAAGAAACAAACCGTTTTTCGGCCAATATCAACAGTTTACGTACCTGAGGGAGGCAAATCTGGAGGGTCAGGTGCCTCTGAGCTTGGAGTATCACCTTCGTGGAAGATTTAACATATACCATCGTAAAACAGGTGTATCTCATTTAGGAGCATAAATGTGAAAAAAAGAAGTTAGAAGAGAGGAGGGGGGGGGGGAGAATAAACAGAAGAGGGGGGAGAGACATAGGAGGAGAGAAAAATGGAGAGAAAAGAGGGGGACAGAGGAGAGGTGAGAGAGAAGAGACAGAAAGAAGAGGAGAGAGAGAAGATGGGAGAGATAAGGGGAGAAAAGGTGGAGGGGAGAAAGAAAGGGGGAGAAAGAAGGGGGAAAGAGAAGGGGAAGAGAGAAAAGGAAGAGAGGAGAGAGAAGAGGGAGAAAGAAGAGGAAAGAAAAAGGGGAAAGAGAGGAGAAAGAGAGAGAAGGGGGACAGATCCATTTATCACATTTAGTACCACAAAATTCATTTCGAAATAAATTTTTGTGTAAAAATATGTGTTTTGATAGAGAGAGAAAAGATAATTACTAAATCACTTACAGGCTAAAGGTCGTGACCTAAGTCTTTGCTTAAAATATGCTCAGCCGACAAAACAAGTTATATTTATAAAAAAAAAATTGCAACGAAGCTAGAGATATTCTGCAAAGCGACTCAACAGAGTAATACGAATAATAAGAACAATGTCCGCTCTCGGAACCAATCAGGTCGCAAGATTTATAGAATACCGCCCGCTCACGAATTGTATAAATATATATATAGAGAGAGTACCCTTCATCTCAGATCTACATAATAAAAACTCACCGATGACAATTACTTGAAGTGTATAATTATCACTTCCCAGACGATTTTTGGCTGTACAACGGTATTCTCCTTCGTCACATTTGGTGAAATTTCGCACTAAACTTGTGGCCTCGTCGTTTGTTTGATTTTGAAGCACCTGCCCGTCACGAATTCGAACCCAGGTCACCCGGGGACGAGGAAAACCCGTTGCGACGCAGTTTAAGTGCAGAGTCGATCCCTCGACCACCGAGGACGGTTGTGGACTTTTTATCTTAATGACGGGCTTCTCTGAAAGAAAAACAAACAATTATGGGAGTTTTATGATAACTCGATTTGTATAACACAGTTCAAAAGTCTGGGGAACTTGTCAGAAACCTGCATGCTAACCAGGTGGTAATTGATTACAATCTTATAGAATTTATTGCAAAAAAAAAAAAAACAGCAACAACAACAAAAAAATCTAGAAGCTGAATACATGAGATGAGCTGTATTACCATGAGCACCAATGATAAAAATCACCAGTTTTTGAAATTTTAAAAATTTTAAATTGTTTTTTTTTTGTCGCCAGAAACGTCAGCGCACAAATGCATTGTGCTTTGTTGTCTTAAGTTTGAACTCATGTGCATTGAAGAATCCAGGGGGAAATTCCGGTGTCAAAATAAACCCATCCCCTGGTTAGACTTGTTGGAGACCAAAATTCTTGTAACGACAGGTTCCAATGGTACCAGGGGAGTCATTTTCCCCGAAAAAAATTCTTTCTTTTTATGAATCAAAGCAGGCTTCAGCCCCTTTTAACTAATTTTCTGGATCCACCCCTGTTGTGGTTGTTTCAGAGTGGAGGCAGTGCCCACATTTGCTTTATTTTAATAATGATGAGTAGTGTTTTAAAGGAAATATAATCCTACCTTTGATTATTTGAATAATTGTGGTGTTCTCTAGCGCTTCATGGTACTCAATTTCTCCTATGCTAAGGAATACCGTTCCGTCATACTTTGGTGATATCTTCAGTATACTCAGTGTTCTATCTACACTGAGTTTATACTCGTCAGGATAGTGATTGATCACTGTTCTGTTTTTTATCCAAGCTTTTCTATACTTGTCCCAGTCCTTTCTGCACTCTTTCATCTGTTCCATATTTGGACACTCAAACCACGCAAAGTTTTTCAGGGGCAGCCCGTCTGTGTCTATCGAGCACGTTACTTGAACGTCTATTGCGTCAATTTTAACAAGGATCCGGTTCCCTCCATCAGTACTTTTAGATCCTGTCGAGGGAGCGTACACATATCAAACGGAAGTTAGCAAAAGCAATTTCACCAGGTACTCATAAAAGGGATAAATAGTCGCTTTTGGAATTTGTGTCATTTGATTAGCAAGCAGCTGTTGTATTTACTCCGTAAAATCAGTTCGTCACAACGGTATTTATGTTCTACAAATATTGAATCGCTCTTAACACGAGCCATTATTAAAGGGCTAAACACTCCCTAATTATAGAGTGCCACATGTCTATAAATTACGAAACTGTTTGTACAAAAGTACAAGGTGTGACTTATAGCCATTTGTCTTATTGACTTGATGTAAAGCCAAAATTTTTGAATATCCATCTCTACGACTCAGAAGATGCTGTTTTCGAATGAATGTGGTGGTTTGATATTGCGTAAAACTTTCTGCCCCACGATCCTTTTTAAGACGTGACGGCAAAAAGTGCAATTTTTTTTCACTTGTACTTTCACTTTCAGAATGTTGATGTATATTTTTGTAGCGTTATACGTTATACGTTATTATTTGCCGGGAGGTCTGGAGAAAGGCAAATTTATTCTGTTCCAAGTGTGATCACTTCCTTTTCTCTTTAGCTCTTAAAATTTTGACCATTTTACGGCTGACGGTCATTTTCTTCCCGTAAAGGTTAATAGAAAAAAATTCCGGTTAACTTTATTTACGATTTAAGGTTAAGAATTTGTCAACTCTGTGCGCCTAATGGCCAAATTTTTTGGAGGTCACGATAGCGTCAAGTCAAGTCAAAATTTATCACGCCATCTGCAGTCAGCATTGTACAATGTCTTTGTTAGCAAACGTTTGCTGTGAAACGCAATTGTAATAAGAAAAAATACTAGCTCAACTAAATTAAAGTAATCCCTCTAAAAAATAATCAGTTAATCGAAGAAAGATAATTGTAGTCTCAACGTCAACAAACGATAGAGTCTTAGAAATTTGTGGTTTCTGCTATTGTTGGAACATC